AACCCTGAGCCGGTGAGATTTGAACCGCCGAACTGCTGAACTGCAGTCAGCTGAAGTAGCCTGCAGTGCTGCATTTAACCACTGCGCCACCTCGGTATATGTTGTTATCTCTGGCAACACTTAAAGGATTCTTGCTGATATCTGGATTAAATTGATGAGGTTTTTATGGATCTGTTTATAAAAAAAAGGATATGGGGAAAGATCATTTGTTGCATTTTAAGAAAATGAGATAAGTTACTAAAATTATATTTATAAGGAAGGAGAAAGTCATTGCTTTATTTTATTCTTTGTAGTTTTTATTTGTATTAGTTTTTATTGTAATTTTAAATAAAAATTGTTATAAAAAAATAAATAGAGGAATCATTGAACCAGGTTTGAAAAATTGAACTCCGCCTGTGTTCTACTGCAGGTTGAATTAATATGAAAATATGAAAAAGTTGAATGGATCAAGAAATAGCATGCAGTGTTTTCTGTCAAGGAGAAGACTGATGCAAGAAATAGTTTTTTAAGACTTTGGGGGGGGGGGGGGGGCAGTCTGAACATTTCTGACCCAGAAGTAAATTCTGACCTTGAATTGGTATGTTAAAGGAGGCAGATGGAGAGATAGTAACTGATTCTAAGTGGATCATTTCCTACTGTTGAAGATGAAGTTAAATCAATACCCCACATTTTACCAAGTCAGAACCTACAGGAATATACAGAAATGTGGCAAGTAACAGAAGAAGAATCAGTAAAGGTTATGCCCAATCTATGCCAGCAAATTTGGAGAACAGCATAGTGGCCAGTATATTGAAAGAGATCAGTCTACATACCAATAATGATGAAAAGAAGATTTAATGAAATGTGCAAATTATCTTACAGTGCCTTTAATTTCACATGAGAGCAAAACAATGCTTCAGATCCTCCAACCCATATTTTATCCCAACATGCAAAGAGAGATGCCAGATGTTTAAATGGTTTTAGAAGAGGCCAAGGAACAAGAAATATTATTATTCATTCATGCTGAATAATTGAGAAAGTCAAAGAATATAAAAAGAACTCTATATGTGCTTCAGTAATTATGGACACGACTTCAGTTGTGTCCATCATGTCACATTCTGAAATGTGTCATTCGGAAGTCAGAATCTCGGAATACATTATCTTCACGCAAAACCTATAAAATAGATTAGGAAACCTCATTTTAAACAAACACTACAAAGCAGAATGACTCCAGGAAGGCAAATGAGAGAAGGCTATATATTATCACTTTATTTATTCAAACTATGTGAAACATCTACTGTAGGAAGTTGGATTGGAATATTTTTTTTAAATTTAGAGGAAAAATAACAGTAGCCTACACTATGCTGAGGACACCACTTTGATAGTGTCTGGTAGTAAATGAACTGACAGCTCTAATAATGAAAGTCTTGAAGAAAAGTGGAAAATGGAGCTAAAATTATATATATAAATAAGAGCCAAGGTGGCGCAGTGGTTAGGGTGCAGTGCTGCAGGCCACTTCAGCTGACTGTTATCTGCACTTCAGTGGTTCAAATCTCACCGGCTCAAGGTTGACTCAGCCTTCCATCCTTCCGAGGTGGGTGAAATGAGGACCCAGACTGTGGGGGCAATTTGCTGACTCAATTTGCTAAAAATCTGTAAACCGCTTAGAGAGGGCTGAAAGCCCTATGAAGCGGTATATAAGTCTAATAAATAAATAAACATATATATGTATGTATGTATGTATATATGTGTGTGTGTGTATGTATGTATGTATGTATGTGTATATATGTATATGTATATATATATTTATTTATTTATCAGCACAAATAAAAAAACACAAATATAACAAAGGCAACAGTAAAAATATTGGGTTTCTGTCGTGATGGAGTCTTGTGACGAGCCGATAGACAGATGATGGAAATAATGGCAATAGGTACAGCAACCAGCCTTATTGAAGATATCACTTCAAGAGATTGAAATGGTGGGTATTTTCTATCTTTTAGGATCAACTAAAGTAGTAAAGGAAAAAGAAGTCAGGAAGGGACTGCAGTCTAAGCACCTGGTAGAGTTGTAGTAAACCTTGGGACATATATAGAGATATATTACATGTCTGTACTTACAAAGGTTAGAACCTTTGTATAACATGCCTGTACTTAAAAGTTAGAATTGTACAGATTTGGAAGAAGCAGGATAAAAAGAGAATTGACATTTTTTGCATTTTGGTGTTGGTCCGGAGAATACTACGGATAGTGAAGAAAACAAACAAATTAATAACTAAACAAATGAGCCCAGACCTCTCATTGAAGGCAGAAATGAGCTGCCTCAAATTATCATACTTCATAAACATTATCTATAAATAAAGATTCTTTAGATAAAACTAATGCTGGGAAAGACGGAAGAAAAGACAAGAAGGCAGCAAGAAGCATCAAGATACATGCCCTTGCCTACAGTGGCAGTGGATGCAATGTTGGACCAAAGAATTAGATTGGGAACAAATTGTCGTGGAGAAAATCTATCTGATTGCTAAGAATTGCACTGATTTGGTGTCATAATCAAATTGAACTGTAGCTGCCAGGTTATCTCTTCT